CATAATTTACTACTACTTGGCAGTATCTAACTAAGCTGCCTATACCACCACACACCTCTGCTTTCTTTTATTGACAAATCAGTGGTATAATGTCTGTATGCACGTATGTGTATATACCACATGTGGATGTTTTTACCACCTCAAATGGGGGAAATTCATTCCTGTAAAGAGGGACATCTCAAGGCTTATTCATCACTAAAGTTCCACTGTCCCTGTATTGGACTTAGACTTTATTTTTATTTATAGCAGTGCTAAAAAGGAAGCCCATCCATATGTTCTTGGCTCTCCTGACATAACTCATAAATAAAAGTGCAACAATTGAAAATAACCCACCTCAAATTTCCCTCCCCCTTGAATAATTTCCCATGGCTACAATTACAATTCCTTTCCATTTCCAAACACCTGGTACAGAAGAGGAATGCTGCACTGAGTTCTTGAAGGTCATCAGGTTCAGTCCAAAATGGTGTCAAACACTTTTGCTGGCCCTCTTCAGAGGTGAGTTCATTGATAAAAATAGGGCAATCTTAAATCTATTGTTGTTGCAGACTGGTCCCACTTTTTAAAAAAAATTATATTGCTAATAGTTACACATTCTTTTCACCATATAACTCACTCCTGATTTATTTTAAATAAATTCAGACTTTTGTACAAAACATATTAAAAGGTGAAGGCTAGAGGCCCCCTCCCTTCCTCCCCAAAAAGTTTAATTTGAAATTAATAACAGCACTTTATATTATCCGTTTCTGCAGACTGACAGTCATTGACCCATATTTAATCAGTCAAAAATGTGGTGTCTAATCTATGTCTTAATGTCAATTCTGGGGCGGGCGGGGAAGAACACATGGATCAGTGTTCACATTGCACTCCCTGGACCAGGGAAGCTAATGATGGATCAGTGGACCAAATTCAGTGATAAATCGTGGTCAGGTGCCACCTGAGGCACATTGATGTTCTTTTTTTTTTTAATGTAAATTTCAGTCTCAAGACATGAAAAGGTTAGTTACAAAACAAGTGCAAATCAAATACATTATTTCATTGCAATTTTTTTTAAAGAGTTAGCTGGCAGTGGTAATAAAATGTTGGGTAGTATCCAATATTTACTTCCATATACTGAATAGAAACGGACATGTCTGACTCTCCCCTCCACCCCAACCCCCCACACACACTTTGTTCATCTTCCTGCTAGTTTGCACAAATTCAAATACAGATTTAAGGAATTATAATTGAATTTATTTAAATTATTCAGTTATTCCACAGTGTATTTGAAGGAATCTGATGGTTAAGTTATACAGGGTTTACACAGCTAATCCTGCTGAAATGTGGTTTTACTTCACCTTTTACAGCATGTTGGTCTATGATAAAGGCTTGGTGTAAAGTGTTAACAAGTTAGTCATTTAAGTAACTTTTTTGTAAACCAAATTCTTAAAGAATGTTTAGTGACCAATATTTGTTTTTAATTATTAACTTAAATAAGCCTTTGTGCTAAAAATAATTGGAACCAAGGTGCAATCCTCCCCCAGCACACCTGAATAAACACACTATAAACTGAAGAGGTCAGCAAGGGACATGGGGAACAGCATCTTCCCCAGGGTTGCAAAGCTATGAATGGAGGAGCTCTGTGGTCTCTATTGGCATCTAAGGGCTTGTCTTCACTACCCGCCCGGATCGGCAGGTAGAAATCTCTCTCTCAGAGATCGATTTATCACGTCTCCTCAGGGATAATCGATCCCCGAATCAACGCGCGTACTCCGCCAGCCCAGGTAGGAGTAAGCTCCGTCGATGGGGGAGCCGCGGCGGTCGATTTGCCGCCGTCCTCACAGCGGGGTAAGTCGGATCAGATACGTAGAATTCAGCTACGCTATTCCCGTAGCTGAATTTGCGTATCTGAAATCGATCCCTCCCCCGTAGTGTAGACGTAGCCTCAGGACCACAGCAGCAGCCTACAGTTGCTGCTGCAACTTCCCTATACAATTTATTGCAGAAAGAAGTTTAGCTGGGAAATCCCAGCTCCCTTCCCCCAAGAATTCCCTCCCTGCTTGGGTGCATGAAACTTCCCTGATACAGGGCAGGTGCAAAACCCCTGTGCAGGATCCTCCGTTTCAGAGTAGCAGGACTCATGGATGTAGTGCATATACGAACACATACATAATGTAAATAAGCAAATACATCATTCCTGACTGTACTCTGTAGTACAATTTTGGATACAGTCAGAGTAATCGAATTGACCGCTCATGTATACTACTGATAGAACCACAGCAAATTTCCCACCTTACTTAATCTGCAATACTCAAACTACTCTATTCCTTAAAAAAAAAGAAAAAGAAAAAAGAAACCCTGACAACTGCGCCCTGTTTTGTGATTTTTTTCCTGTAGACGTCATAAATAATGCTAAAATCCTCTTTTGAACCAAGTCCTTAGTCTGCACAGCCAAAAGGTTACTGCCATAATGCATTGTCTCAGAAGTGCAACATCCCCTTCTCCCAATTTGATGGTATTTACAAGGAAACAGCGAAAAGAAGCCAATTTTCGTTTCCAGCTTCAATTCTGATGTTTTTGAAATCAGATCACCAGTTGTCCTTGAACTAGAAATACAGCTTAATCTTAAAATACTCCCTTTATCACTCCGTAGTTTATAACAGTGTTAATGAAAGAGCTAAGTATACAAACCAAGATTGATTTTTAAAGGCAAGATGTTGCCAGAGTAAACTGGGACTTTTAGACTATGACACAATGTTTCAAAATGGCCTGATTTATGGGAGCAGCGCTGTCAATGTGCACATATGAGTGAGGGTTATGAAGTACACAGATGTGTGTTTACAAATTTTCAACTTGTGCAAGCTCTTCAGGATTTACACACACACTATTCAAATGTACATTTTTGAAAATATGGGCTTTTGGCTCTATCCGAATATGAACTAAACATAACTGCTATCCCTTGTCCTCTGTGGCCTGAATCTGCCATTGTCTAACAAAGCATGATTACAAAAATTCTTCTGAACAGACCACTGCTTTGCCTAGCGAACTGCTCAAACCAATTTAAGGGATTCAGAATCCTACAGTGCGATCTCTAAATTTCATGAGCAGCCTCACAAAAAAATAGCTCAGTCTACTCTAAACAATAAATTAATGGAAAAAACAGAAATTGTGAAGTTTCAGCACCAAAAGATAGTACTTTTGATTTCCATTGCTTTGAATTAATGTGTCTTCACCCTTATGAGATAAACAATCAGATAAATAGTGCTATTACAAATATTTAAAAAGTTATTTCTATATTCATGCAAGGCGTACATTTCAGCATTGCACTCTTGAAATAGCAATGTAGATTTAGGTAGATATGATTTTTTTAAAAATGCAATTTTTCAGTGCCATCTGCATCTTTATCCCTCATAAAAAGGCAGCAGCAACACATGAAAAGACAGACAAAAAAAAGAAATGGAAATGTAGTCTATTTACAGGTTCCACATAACTGCAGTATCATGTTAGGATTATATGGAATTCAGAAAAAAACATTAGCAAAAAGGCTAGGAAATACCCTATAGTTTGACAGCCTAGGAAAACTAAAAATCCCACTGTGGACAAATTTAATTACTTACTCCCTGATACTGGCTTATGCTTAAAAATTTTTGAGTCCATTGACTGATGAGCATATCTAAACTGCAGCTACAAAGCTGGTCTCATGCCTGACAATCTTTTTGCTTATTTTTTAAAAAGCTAAACAAACAATTTACTATCCTGGTGGTTTATACTGCCCTCCAGGAGAAGTGTACGTGTATAATTACACTCACTTTACTCCCAAAATGCAGTAGAATAGAAGGTGCAATCTTCACTTGGTGCAGTTTTAAAAGAAGTGGAAGGTAAATTTTCAGCCTCAATATGATGTGCTGATCATTCAGTGCAACCACAGTTTTTAAATGTGGGTCCAATCAGACATCATTTTGTCCTTGGGTGAGGCACAACATTTGCACAAAACAGTTTAATCTTAAAGTAAATGAAAGCAAATGCTAATTAACTATGACAACCTTATTTTCTTGTCAAACAATTCAAGTTGTCCTTGGATAATTCATCTTAAAAACCATGTCCTGCCTGTGACCATGGATCACAAAGAGTTAAGATTTCAAATACTAACGGTAATTCAAGAGCAGTGCAACAGGTAAAAAAACCCAAAAGAGAGAATCTTATTTCAGAAAAAAGCTTTTGTTAAGTCATAGTTTAATTCATAACTGACTGGACTAAATATTGTCCTAGCATGTATTTAACTGAAGAATTCTGATCCAGAAGTAAAATGAAATCTAAAACTTAGGTATATTATCTATGCAGTCTTTATTTCTGTACAAAAAAAATTGGAAATGTTTAGGTAATACAATTCTTACAATCAAATCTAAACACTCAAAAAAGGTGTTTAAAAAAACAAACAAACCAAAAACAAGACACCTTAGTAATTCCAGATCAAACAATGCATAAATACTAAAAAGCACAACCAACTTAGTCACAGTTATCTATCTTACAATAGGAGAAGGAATATGCCCACAAGTAAATCAATGGCAAAACTCTCATTCATTTCAGAAAGAGCAGGTTCCAGCCATTAAAATATTTTTTGCAAAAGTTAAAAAACAGAACTGCATTGCATAACAATGCTACAGAAGCAGAAACTAAGTAAGACAAAAAAGATTCAGTAACACTTGTTTCAGTTGTTTTTAATTCAGTGTCTATAAAAGGGGCATGGTGAGGTCCTATCAGTATCCTGCTGAAATGCAGTCAAGCCAAGCAAGAAGAGTTTTGATCTTTTTGTTTGCTCAAAGTTCAGCACTGGGCTTCAAACACAGCTGAAAGCAAGACAAACAGAAGAATCAGAACACAGATAGAAGTTCCTGCTTGCTCTTCCAGCAGCAAATGCAATTCAGTTTCTAAAAGCCCTCTCTGTCTCCTCCCCATGCCTCTGAAGTGAAAAAAACAGAACAACCTCCCTGCTTCCCCATCCCCCATTTTCAGTGAGACAGAGGCCATGGTGGCCCCCTAGAGGGGCATATAAGACAGCCATGGTTCTCCATCCCTCATCTGTAGGGAGGGGGATAGAACCACCCCTGATACTTTCATGGGGAGAATCATTTGAGAATGGAGCATTTCCATTCCCTGGAGTATAGTGAGAGAGATCTTCTTGCCAAACTGCCTGCCTGTATACATCTCATGCCGGTCACAGGATAAAGGTGGGTGCTGATGCTGGTATGTGAGATTGTGATAGTCGATATGTAGGGTGGAAGCAGAGTTGCCTCTGTGCAGGTGGATATATAGGCATGGGGCAGCCAAGAGCAAATAGGTATTTTGGTCAGAGAGGGTGGAAAGACAAGGATTGTGGGAAAAGCAATGTCACCTACTCACGATTTTATCATGAGATGCACAATATTTGATTTTTTTTTTTAAGTCCTCATGTTGGCATCAGGAAGGAGATGGAGAATAGTGAGTGAAAAGGAGGAACAGAAGGGAGTCTGAGGGTATAATAGGAAACAGGAATGGCAGAGAAGGAGAATGTGAATGGTAGGAAAGTAACTAACCATAAGGGGAAAGGAAGGGAAGTATGGGAAGACATGAATGCTTGGAACAGCCAGGAATATGAAGGATGGATCACGAAGGGGGAGACAATTACAAGGAAGAAGGATGGAGAAGAACAGATGGTGCCCACAACAGGTAAGTAACTGAATTTCCCTTATGAGCAATGAAATGGGGGAAGTATGCATTTAAAGTTTCATTTTGAATCTGATATAACCACACATCTCCTTAAGTTCTCAAAAAATCAAAGGTAGATTTTAAAAAGGTGAAACTTATTTTTTAAAAATCTTGCAACTGGAGGGTCTGAATCACGATTTTTAAGTATATGCAGAGATAATGCCAGAAAAGAGGAAAATAAGTTGCGTGGTAACGGCTGAAATGCCTATATGATTTTTGTTTTAAATGGGGGACTATTTAAAAATAGTTATGCTTCTGTATGTAAATAAACAAGTCTTGTTTAGAAGTCAGAATATAAAGTTGTGGAATGATAAAAAAATTGACCAAAACCGAATTACTCTGATTCCTCTCTTAACACACTGCTGTTCAGTGTTGCTGTAACAATGGATGCCACATTTCCACCTTGGAGGCACACACATCTCAAAGTAATTCATGTATATACTACTCTGTAATGCAACTGCCAGATATGTGTGAGGCATATCAAATTAACATTAAATGAACTTTACAACTGGAATTTTTTTTTTAATATAATGTCTGCTTTGAATGTTCCCTTTTATCTATCAATGTGTTACTGTCACCACCCTTGTCTACTCATATCATAATATATATTTACTAGATGACAGAGTTAAGTCTGTATGTGCAGCTTTAATGTTTGCATTTCCCAACTTCAGTGCCTGACCTATCAATCTTAACATTCTGTTAAAATATTTTCCCCAAACAAATTTTGATTTCAATCAGCCTTACATCAATTCTAGCTTTTGCTATTATGATAAGAGATGTAGTGCTTATAGTAGTTTACAATAGAAGATACCTTTCAGAAGCATTCCTTACAAATATAGATACTAAACCCAACAGTAATCTATGTAAAGCACCTGAGTAAGTATTTAAATCCAACCCTATAGAGCACATGCTTAAGTTCCATTAAAGTTAAATGCATTGCTGAACCCAGATGGTTTATTGACTCTAGGCCTCCTACACTAGTCCCACTGTAGACTGAGTACTGCCTGAGTAAAGGCTTTGCAATGTTATTCTCACTATCGCAATAAATTTACTGTGACAAGATGGTCGATATAGTATGGTGGGTCCTGCGCTTTTCTTGCGGGGGGGGGGGGCTAAAATACCATCCCTTACCCCTGCTCTTGGGGTACCGAGGGCCCCACTAGCGGCCCAGGAAGGTGGTAAAGGAGGGAAGCAGGGGAGGGGTCTGGGTTTGCTCCTCGCTCAGAGTCCCAGCCCCCTCTCAACCCCTGCAGGTTCTTACCCTCTTCTCCCTTGGGTGGGGTACCTTCTGTCCTTAAATGCTGGGGGAGGAAATGTCCCTCCCCTACTGGGGCAGGGTCTCCCTTACTCCGGTTTTCTGTTCCTCCAAGTCTAACAGCACACCTCCATGCTCCAGTCCTCTCTCCTTCCCCCTGACTGCCTGAAGCAAGGGGTTTTATTAGGTTTCTAACAGGGCCTTAATTGATTACAGGTGCTCCAATTAACCTGTAGCAACCCTCCCTAGTCTACAGGGAACCACGCCTTAATTAACCTAGGGTTTATATACTTCCCTTTACCACTTCCCACTGCTCCCTGGCCCTCCTGTATCACATATCCCCTTCCCCTGCTCAACGCCATGGGATTGGGCTACTTGGGACAAAAGACAGTGTTGTCGTGATAGGCCGCCCGCGTTGCTGTGTTGGCTGCCGGCTCTATGCTGGATCCGGAAGTGAAAAGGTTGTAGGGACAGGAACCATCTAGTCACTCGTGCATTCCTCTCCTTATTTGTGTGCATCCATTGGAGCGGGGCGTGGTCCATCACAAGGGTGAACTGCCGCCCAAGTAGGTAGTACTGTAGAATCTTCATGGCCCATTTAATTGCTAGGCATTCCTTTTCTACTACGGCGTATGGTTGCTCCCTGGGCAGGAGCTTTCGGCTGAGGTAAAAGATCGGGTGCTCCTCATCTCCCACCATCTGTGAAAGGACGGCCCCAAGTCCTACCGCCGAGGCGTCTGTTCCTTTGTGAAATCTGGGACTATGAGCACTGGATGGCTGCAAAGAGCTGTCCTTCGGTCTGTGAAAGCTTCCTCTGCTTCCTCGGTCCACTTAACTATCTCCGGGCCCCGAGCTCTTATTAGGTTCGTCAGAGGCGCTGCCCTTGTGGCGAAGTGAGGGATGAACCGGTGATAGTACCCTACTATCCCTAAGAATGCTCTGATTTGTTTTTTTTTTTTGATTGGGCGGGGCCATTTCTGTATTGTTTCCACTTTGTTCCACTGGGGCTTCACCAGGCCCCTTCCGACTACATACCCGAGATATCTGGCCTTAGCTAGCCCTATTGCACATTTGGATGGGTTAGCGGTGAGGCCAGCCTGTCTAAGAGTATCTAGTACCGCTTCCACTTTCCCCAGATGTGTCTCCCAGTCAGGACTATGGATTACCACGTCATCTAAATAGGCAGAAGCATACTTGGCATGGTGTCGAAGTAATCTGTCCATCAATCGTTGGAAAGTTGCGGGGGCCCCATGGAGCCCAAAAGGGAGGACGGTATATTGGAAGAGGCCGTCAGGTGTAGAGAAAGCGTTTTTTTCCTTGGCGTCCTCAGCCAGGGGGATCTGCCAGTAGCCTTTTGTCAAGTCCAAGGTGGTCAAGTATCGGGCCTTGCCTAACTGATCCATCAGCTCATCAACACGTGGTATCGGGTAGGCATCGAATTGGGATACCTCATTTAACTTCCGAAAGTAATTACAAAACCTCAGGGTGCCATCAGGCTTGGGGACCAAGACAATAGGGCTGGACCACTGGCTGTGGGATTCCTCAATCACCCCAAGTTCCAGCATCTTCCTTACTTCTGCCCTAATTTCTTCTTTTTGCCTCCGGTATGCGATATGGTTTTATGGTCACCCTTGCTCTGGGACAGGTGACAATGAGGTGTTGGATCAGCGTCGTACGGCCTGGTTGTGTGGAGAACACATCTTGGTTCCACTGGATCATTTCAATGACCTCTGTTCGTTGTTCTGGGGCTAATTCGGGGGATATCCTTACCTACCCTTGTGGGCCATCTGCCTGGGGTGTGGCCGGCAGGATGGCCAGGCACGTCTCCCAATTGTGCCAGGGTTTCAGTAAGTTGACGTGATAGATCTGCTCTGGCCTTCGGCGGTCTGGCTGCTTTACCTTATAATTCACCTCCCCAACAGCTTCCACGATCTCATAGGGTCCATGCCAACTGGCCAGGAACTTACTTTCTGCTGTTGGTACCAGCACCAGCACCCGTTCTCCTGGTTGAAATTTCCGTGTTTTTCCCCGACGATTGTAGTAGGTTCGTTGGGCCTCTTGTGCTTACTCCAAATGCTCTCGTACTATGGGGGTCACTTGGGCTATTCGTTCTCTCATCTGGGCTACATGTGCAATGACATTCTTCCCTGAGTTGGGTTGTTCCTCCCATTCCTCCTTCGCGATGTCTAATATGCCACATGGGTGGCGTCCATACAGTAGCTCGAAGGGGGAGAAACCAGTAGAGGCTTGGGGAACTTCTCGTATTGCAAGCATCAGATATGGTAGGAGGGTATCCCAATCTTTTCCGTCTTGGGCCACCACCTTTCGGATCATACTCTTGAGAGTGCAGTTAAATCGCTCAACCAGACCATCTACTTGGGGATGATGAGGTCCGCAAGGCTAGGACGCGGAGCAGGGTACATAAGTCTTTCATTACTCTCAACATGAAGGGAGTCCCTTGATCTGTCAGGATCTCCTTAGGAATGCCTACCCTAGCAAAAACCTGCACCAGTTCTTTTGCGATTGCCTTGGACGTGGGGTTCCTTAAAGGAATGGCTTCGGGGTACCGTGTAGCGTAGTCCAGGATGACAAGTATGCTTCGGTGGCCTGGGCTGTTCTTTCTAGTGGGCCCTGTGCATGCCATTTACCTCTACTACCTCCTCCCTCACGTTTGCATATAGTGGGTCATCGGCTTGGTCCTGCCCAAAACATTTGCGTGCGGGACCAATCTGGCCTGATTCTATTGACTTGGGTTCCCCTGCTTCTTTTGGGGTGCTTCTGCTCATGCTGGGGGCCGTCTCTGGGTCTCCACAAGCCTTCCTCCCAACCAGGGCAGCTTTCTGGTTTGCTGCCAAGATCCTGGTTCCTAATCTTTTGTCTGCTCTCCTTTCCCGTCTTGATTTCCAGGACTTCCCAAGGGGTGAAAATAACTCTGGGGAAAACTCAGCAAAAATTGTGGTAGGATCATCCATGAGTACCTCACATTCTGCTTGGGGTTTACTTCCCTTTCCTAACTCAAGGCGGGTGGGGGGGGAGGGGGGAGTAGGCGCTCGAACCCAGGAAAGTCCCTGCCAATTAAGACTGGGTAGGGGAGCTTGGGGACCACCCCTTCAGTCATCTTGGTAGTACTTCCCTGGATCTCAATCTGTACTGGAATTGTGGGGTAGAAATTTACTGTGCCATGCACACATGTCACTCCAGTGCTCTTGGCCCAGCTCAGCTGGTCTT